AGAAAATGGTGGAAAAACAAAACTTCTTGAAATAAAATACTATAATTAAAACATTAGCAGAATGGGGTGTTGCTTCACTCTTCAGTTCTATATGGAGAGCATTCGCTTAACCTGACAAAATGACTAAGGTTGAGAGGATCAGGGAGGTGAAGTCTTGACTGCCGTTCTTTGGCCCTTGGATGGCAAAGGTTATGCTCTCTTCCTTTGAGTTATTTCCTGCCATTTTTCTCCTGATATATGAGCCATTTTGTTCAAGATACTTTTGGTAGGCTCTCTCTAAAAGGATTTCTAGTAACCTCCACTGGCTTGCTGTTTCTTCCTTGCTTCCTCCTGAGAAAACCCCTTCTTGAAATCTGGAAAGAGACGAGCAGGGGTGCCCACCTCCAGCAGTGGTGATTGCTCGGCTCTTCTTAAAGTGTTTTCGAGAGGCCAGTTTGAGCCTGCTGGTTGTTGTAAAGATTACCTGTGAAAGAGTGCTCCTAATTAGCTTACTGACTATTTGGAGAAAGCTCTCCTGGTTTCTCTGTGCCTGGTCGTTACTGAGTAAGCTACTGCTGAATGAAACAGATGTGTTCTTTATAATGATGAGGTCATTTTTACGCTTATTAATCTTGAAAGCGGGCTGTTTCTTATAGAACAAAGTTGGATTTGAGAGAGAGAGAGAGATGATGATGATGATGATGACTTAGAAAGAAAAAGAAAAGAAGCTTTTGTGTGTGTATGCCCACGTATTTTATTAAAAGTTTTAGTGGCTGCTCCAAGAGCAAGGTGTCTGTGCCTTTAATCATTTTCATTTTAAAAACAGAGCCTTATATTTCCACATCTTCAGCTGTCCCAGAGGGCAGCTAGGCCAACTTTAACAACATTAATTTCTCTTTATGACAGGACTAGTGCTGCCCCAGGTCTTCAGAACTGCCTAAAATGTCTGGAAAAGTAGATAATGAAGAGGATATTAGAATTGTAAACAAGAACAATTTTGTAATAAAAACCATATATTTTCTCCATTGGACTTTGGGCTTAATACTGCAGCAGCAAAAGTGTCACGAGTCATAATTTGTTGATGACTACTGAGCATTAGTTACAGTCAGAGCGTGTGCATAGAGGGCAAGTCCTCCTGGCATCCCATTAAAGGAGATCTCGGATGGGTAATTGCAATTTCGTTGTTCTAATGTGTCTCTTTCAGTTGATTTTTCACTGTGCAACCTGATGAAAAGAACTTGTGTATGAAACTTACCAGGCTACTCACGGAGGCTTTTGCCCTTATGCAGAGGTATTCTGCACAAGTTTAAAGGATTTATTAATAGCGAATGTGAAAGGATCACCCTCCTAAAAGTCAAAGGAGACCCATGCCCAACCCTGGATTACCTTCAAAGGTTTAGGAAGGAGCCTGATTGGAGCACTGAAAAAAGAAGCACATCCCTCACTGCTCTGTGTTTCTCCAGGAGCACATCCTTGCTTCTGTCATCTGTTTGTCCTTCTTGATGACAGGGTTTATGAGTATGATAGAGTGGACTAAGAAACTGTAGAGTAAGAAACTAAGTGGACTAAGAAACTAAGATTTTCCCCAAGAAACAGAGTGTTCTTCCCTGTTTTTCTGCAAGGAATATGGGAGCAAAGTGTAAAATGTAAGCATTATTGGCTGTTAACATCATAAACGGCACTATCTTCCTAAGGTGCCCGGCAGCTGAGAAAGTTCATACTGTGCTTAACCTTTTGTCTTGGCCTCATCCTTTGTTGTCCTGATTCACTCAAGAAATCTGAACACATAATCCTAAAAGCATAACAATTTCCAGGAATATGGTTTTTGTTTGCATTTCATATCTGCTTTTATTATACTGAGTGGCCTGTGTTCTATAATCTGTTCCCTGAATTTAGTTTTGTAAGAGCAACACAGATGCACAAAGCCTCTCAATTTCTATTGAGATATTTTCCTATCAAAGGTAATAATGAAAATATTTATGTTTTCAATTAACCAAAACTTACTGCATATTCGTATGATTTTTCTTTTCAAAATTGGCAGTAGCATAAGAACATATGTTTTCAAAGACAGTTATTCTAGTGAAGTGTAGGTTAAGATACCAAATACTTTAATTTGAACTGAAAAGAGAGGCCACATTCACATTGTGCTTTATGAAATCTTTTAAAATATTACGATCTTAAAAATAAGGCGGAAACCTTTCATCTGTATCTATTAGCACCGAATTCCCCTTTTCACAGCTAGGATGGGTGAGTAAACAGCTTCATCCCATAGTGTGATCAGTTGAGTGTGGGTGTCTTCCAGATGATCTGGGGTAGTGGGATCTCATCCCAAGACTGTGCTCACTCGGGCTTGATACAGACTAAAAGACAAAAATGAGCTCTCTTCCATTATTTAGGCACCTGTCCAGAGGTTGGGGGGAAAATTCCTTGTGTAGATTTAGCCTAAGAGAGCAGAGATAACCACCTTGCCTTCTGTGTCTAATAAGATGTGAAAGGGGGCAGAAATAATGAGTATTACATTGTATTTTTCATGTAAAAGCCGGAGAAACAAAACGTCCTGAACACTGGCAGTGATTCCAGTCATTTTCAAATGAAAAGGGCTATTTGTTTCCAAATTACAGCAGCCACTGGAATGCATACGTTTATGGCTCAGAAATCCTCATTTTGTGAAGTAAAATTACCTTTCAGTAATTTAGTCACTGCAGGCTTTCTCCTGCTGACTGGTCAGAAGCTATCAGATAGCTTGCAGCTGCGGGCTTCAGCCCGACCATTTTTTTTTCCCTAGGACAGGCAGTTAGTTAGTAGAGCCATCAGTACGGCATCTGTCATCCTGCTAGGCCCAAATTGTTTTCTATGATGGATGTCACAGTCTGTATGATCAAAATAGAAGCCCTGCTGCTTTTAATTGCAAAATCGGAGTACTTGCACATTTGTTATTATGCCGAGGTTATTACCTCACACAAAATGAATTAACAGGTGAAAATAATTGATGAGAGGAGTCTAGGGATTTTTAGCCTCTTCAAAGAGACTTTGTAATTATGGCATAATGAATGTTCTGAGACATATCTGTGGGGGGCAGCATGAGACCACCAAAGATCTCTCCAGATTGATGACAAATTCTACTGATTTCTACTGTAATACTGCTTAAATTTACTTAGCAATTAGTTTAATAGGCCTACATGATTCATGATAACATACTGAGAATTTTTAAATAAGTTTGTTCCATCCATCTGTAAATTAAGCCACTTACCTGAGCTTTCTTCCCAAGGTGATGGAAAATGTGAACGAGTCAGACTTTCTGAAACAAAGGTGACAGGATAGGGGTTTGGGTTTCAGAAATACCTGACTAAATGCTGCTGGCATCTCAAATAATTTCCCTTCCCCTTTTCCAATAGCTTGTGAAAAGAGCCTCACCAAATTTTGTCCAAATGCAGTTTTAAGAGTTCCCAGCACATAAAGACTCTGCATTTGTCCTGTGAAGTAAATCGTTTAAACATTTTGCAAGCTGAAGTAATTGCTCTTGGCTTTCTGACCACTCTTCCATTCAGACTTGGTTATATTTCAAATTCATTCAGCCCCTGAGTGCATCCAGAGTGATGGAGTCCGGCCATCTTTCCCCTTCCTTGTGACATCCTGAAACTGCACGGGGGGTATCTCTGTCACCATGAACTTACATGCAATGTCGCTTCAGAGCACAGAAGGCACTGTCCCTGTATTAACCCAGTGCAGCCAACAAGCTGGAATATTGCTTTTCATGTGTGCCTAAGTAGGTACAGAATAGTAGTTGTAAGGTAGACAACCTAAAAGCTGCAAGGGTGGAAAATATTAGTAAGTGGCATAGGGGACCATTTAAAGGAAAGAAAAAAAAAGATCTATAGCTGAACTAATCATGAGCATGCTTCTTTTTAACAACTACATGTTATTCACATACTCTATGCATTCAGATCTCAAGGTAATTCTTTAATTAGCAAAAGCTCAAAATGAATTGTGAGTGCTATTTTGAGAAACATACATAAAGGAGATCTTGAGACTAAGGCAATTTTACTAAAAGTAAAGGAGAGAAAATGCCATGGAAAGCAGAATTGTAACTTTTGAGGAATGATAAACTCCATAAAGAAGTCACATGCATATAAACATCTATATTCCTTTTTTAAGTGACAGGGAGTTTTATCACAGATTCAAACTAGATTGATTAATCTATATATCCAAAGACATGCATTATTTACTATTGTTCTTGTTCCTTTTGTCATACACACACACACACACACACACACACACACACACACACACACACCACACACAAACACACACACACACACACACACACACACACACACTTTCCTGTCCCCGAAGGCAGCTTTTCTTTTTGAGGTAGTTTTTAATGACGGTTTGTTGTTATTCTTGTCCTGAGTTAAAATGAAATGCATATTTGAGGTGTGCAATCAATATTAAGGAATGCAATTGATATTGAGGGGACTCTTACATTGTGTATATGGCATAATACATATATAATATAAAATGTGATATTATAGAGTATAGTTTATATATACACATATCATTCTTTGCAGATATACTGCCAGCATTTTGTAGTTAAGAGTATATAATATCAAAAGATCTCAGTAACAGGAAGAAAAAATACAGGCCAGAAAACATAATAAATGCAAGGCAAGTAGTGGATTGCCCCACATGTGAAACGGACTGTGGTAACTCATATCAGGCTGCGTGTCACTTGCAGAGGCATTTTTCATAAACCACATGCCTGCATTTATCTTCAGTATAAACCCCAAAATGAATTCTCCAAAGACATTAACAATAGATAAATGCTTTTTAAACAAAATAGTCTATTTGAAAAATCTGTGACAAAGGAAGGAAGGTGTTAGACAATTGGACTTAAGTTGTGTCATAAACTATGGCACTGATTTGTGATGTTTACTTTATTGTGGTCTTAACTTTAATTGAGAGAGGAATAACCTAAAATTCATAGGTTAATGCTGTAAAATCTTGGTATCTGTTTCATTTAGATTATACTGGATGACTATTGTGAAACACCAAGGAAAACACTCCAGGAATTCTGAAACAAACAAACAAAATATACAGGTAACAAAGTGAATTTCTAAAAAGAATTCGTGTTAATTCAGGTTGGATACAATTGTTGAAACTTGATTATTAGAGACAATTCAAAATCTTCATAACACCACCAAAAAGCAATAGATGACACAATTTAAATTTCACGGTAAGCTATCCAAACACAAATAGATGTGTTCTATACAGAAATGAAGAACAGAGGGACTGGGTGTGCTTTATGATAGCTTTGTGACAAATGACACATACATAGAGTGCAGTGTAACTGACTCTAAAGCAAATTCAGCTGCTTTTTTCTTGTCTCTTCTTTTTTCTGTATAATATGTACAGAAGTACAAATGTTTAGACGGCGTCTAGTGACTACAAAGAGTATTCAATATAGTGTGTATGTTTACCAAAGAAATTGTGTTTTAGATGGGAAAATCTGATGTTCTTTTTAACGACTATAGAATGTGGAGTAGTTAGGATAGGGAAAAGGGTATTTGTTTTATTCATGGGCCATTGCGAAATGATCCTCGTGTGTCGTAGGGGATGGTGAGCTCATGGAGTCTGAATCACTGACTTACAAGACAGATCTATTTCCAGGAAAGGAAAAAGATTTTGTTGATAATGTAATGAGAATGCAAATAATTTCTTTGATGATGCTAGAATTTTGGTAGTATTAGTCTGCTGCTAGCATGCTATGAATTCTGTGTAATTAAATGGAATTGGATTGTGGACCTGGCTTTATGAAGACGGCACTGGTTTCTGAGTAATACCCTATTCAAACACCTCACTCTGATGTATTGCATTAATAGATCATCAGAAGCAGTTGTCAGTCCAATGATGTATTAGTGTAATACATGAGAACTAGACTCACTGATGATGTATTTAGTACTCACAAGATGGCAGTGTCCAAAGAAGAAATGGGCCCACTAAGGAAGCCATTATAATTATAGGATGAAGTCAGTTCAGCGTGCAGCACTTTACAAGCCTTCTCAGAAGGGTGCTGGGTTGGTGTATTGGTGCCGAACCTACTCTTAGGACACTGTCGCTGGCACAATGAGAAGAGCATTGTTTTCCCAGTGCAAAATCATTTCCACTGGTGAACGGCAAGATAATATACATATGTCTGGTTACCATTCAATATTTTAGTGCATGTCAGTGTCTGTGTTGGCAGAAAGCATTGTGTACTGTTAGTGCTGCCTTGTGTGGGGAAAAAATCTCTTAAGCAGGATTTTCTGGGATGATACTCAAATATATTATTGTAACAGCAGTTTTCCAACTGATAGTTTCTGCCAAAGGGGAAGCTTTTGCTAGTAAGTGTCTACATGCCACCAATCATGGGCACAGCTTCTGGCATTAGCTAGAGAGGCAGATATTTTAAGTAAAACATTAAACTTCGGTCTGACTGTCATACATTTTCTGCTAATAGAGCTTGCAACACCTACTATAAATGTAGATGAATTAGAGACTCCCAGTGACCTCTATCTACCTCCTGCTGTGCTTTTTCTAAAAGGGTAAAAGAGAGACTTTTAAATGTTTATAACATAGGGCTAAAAAGGCTTTTTTATGCAATGGAATCGCAGTTACTGTTCACCTTCTTACAGCAGCTGATTGCATCATAAATAAAACAGTAGGGATAGTCATCCCAGCTGTGGAATGAATGCATCCAGAGAGCAACCAGAAGGCATTGGTGAAGGATAGGGAGTTTCCTTCCCAGGATCTGGGCTGGTAAAGATTGGAGGTGTCATTGCAGTTTGGAGGGGAAGAAGTGGCGGGGGAAGCAGAGGAGGAAGCAGAGATGATAGTTGATACATGGCATTTCCTTCCCCGGAAATTTAGTAACTGAGGTATATTTTGAAATTTCCTGACCCCCTCCCTATTCAGAAAGGGGAAGCTGAAGGGGAAAGGAAGGATTCACCACAGAGACGTCAAGATGCTGAGGCAGTGCTTGTCGCCATTTTCGTAGCCAGGCTGGCAGTGGCTTGCCCACACTATGGAAAACAACCAAGTGTAGAGCACGACACTAAATTTAGAGGGAAAACAGGCATAGGTGGCATTCTTTTTATTAAGTGGCATTTCTACTTTTGGATATATTATCACCTTTAAAATTTGAGGTAGAGAACTCACTTTGTGATTTATGACTTATAAATAGAAATTCTTTCAGTGGGCTCCTTTAATTACCTCTGTTTGGTCTAAAGGCTTAGAAAAATGTGATGGAAACAAAGCATTGCGCACTTTAAGTTGACAAGAAAAAATATTGGAAATGCTTAATATATCTAGTCCTTTTTAAAGAATGATTGTTTTATGTAATGCCCACTAAAGTATGCATTTTCCTAAATGTCTCTTGATTTTTCCAAACTATTAACCCCTAATACTCAGTTCTATATCAGACTCGTTAGTAACACTGCTGAACTGCCGAATGATCCTTTTATACTATGTAAGTTTTCTTAACATCTAGGAACTAAGGCTTGGGCTATAGACTTGAACCTAAGAATGCATAGACATCATGTAAATTTTTAAAAATATTTTTGTGGGTCCATAAGACACCAAAAGAGGTAAATCTTCAATATGAATTTCAGATTATTACACTATAGCTTGTCACCACTTATTTTCATGTGAGATAAAGATGATTTTTACATTAACTGAAGGCAGTTTTGTTATATATTTAAATACACACAGGTATTCTTACTTTTGCCAAAGATTTAGTTATTTGTCGAAGAGTTTCAAAATTCTTTTCATTAAAAATGTACATGGTTAATGCACTGAATATTTGTTGTAGACTTCCACATTATTAAGGAACGTGTATTATCGTGTTTGCACAAAGTTAAGCAATAGTGATGACAAAATTTAAAAGAAAACCCTGGGGATTTTCTTTGCTTTAAGTAGTAGAAACAACTTAGACACTACCCCAGACTCCCTTTCCCTGCCTTCTTTCCTCCCTCCTTCTCTCCTTTTCTTCCTTCCTTCCTTCCTTCCATTGATTAGATAGTAATAATGGAGGAGGAAGGTTAGAGAAACAGGAAGATACAGTAACACCTTCAAACTGTGATAACCAGGAAATAATTATTACCTAAAAATGTGTAATATTTCTAAAATACCACATAGTTGCAAGTGTATGTTAATGATATTTCCATATGAAAAGATGTATTTTCTATATACAGGCCCAATAACAGTCCATAAGTAACAGGGATATAAATTAATTGTAAAATTAACAATAGGAAAATTCACCCTTGGAAAACACTAATGTTCTGAGGAATGCTTTTAATAGTAGAAAAAAAAAAAAAAAAAATGAAAATGGGGGGTCCAAAAAAAAAAAAAAAAAAAGAAGAAGAAGAAAGAAGATTAAACTCAGCCAGTTATGTGAAAAATGAAATGTTTGGGATTTTGAAGCTTTTATTCTAATAGTGTAAACATGCTCATTTTAAGTATATTTCCAGTATTTTAAATAGTATAAAAGAGAGCTACAAACATTTTCATTTTATATATTTAAATTGCAGTAAACAAAAATAAGAACCAGAATCCTAACAGAAAAGATGAATTCTGATCTTTCAAACATTGTGCTGTATTCAAAGACATCTAAGGTAGCATTAAATCTAAGCCTGTACCCGATACATGTTGCACCATCCAGGAAGTAAGACCAACCAAAAAAATCCAGAGTTCTTATAAACATTGCAGAAGGTAAACACTGATTGAAATCATTGCAAGTGGTTTGCAGTTTCCCAAAAATTTATTTTAAAATATAAACAAATTCAATACACCATGCCATTTTTTTTTTCTAGGAAAAAACTGTTTAATCACATCAAGATCTACATTATTGGAGTAAAAGATTAAATTGTTAACTAAACGTGAAGCCCAAGGAGTAAGTTGCCTTGTGCGCTTTGAGACAAAATTGAAAGCCTGGTTTAGTAAGACACAAATCTGCCATTTTCACCTGATACTAATGCAAAGAATTCTTCATCAATTAAGCCATTTTTCAAAGATTTTGCTAAAATTCCAGCTAGCGTTCACACTGGCATTTTGATAGTGGCACTTCTTTGCTTAAATAGTTGACACCTAATTGTCTCCATAGACTTTTACTTATGAATCCATTCCCCTGAATCACTCTAGTTTGACAGCTGGAACTATGGTTTATCATGCAGTATGTGGCAATTCTGTGATGAGCATGAGTGTCTTAATTCTAGTTTCCTCCCCATACCTTATCTTCCACTGTTTCTGTGTTTTTCTTTTCTTTCCAATCTTTTTCTCCCTCTGCCTCCCTCTCTTTGTGTGTCTCTCTCTCCCTCTCCAATTTCTATGGGAAATAGTCTAGGTTACCCTCTTCTTTCAGCTACATAAATGTTGCCTTTTCGCTTGATGGAAATTCGCCTCATCGCTTTTCTCCATCTTTTCAGGCTGTCTGATCGTCTCATTCTGGAAATGACTATTTCTTTTACTTTTTACATGAGGAGTTATTTTTCCTATTACTAGCCTTCACCTTCACAGATATAAAAACCTAATTGTGCACTGTAGTACAAATGAAATCCGAAATTATCAAGTGCAAAATTAGCATTAAAAAATCATAAGACAACAAACAATAGGGCTTTTATGTGATTTTTGTAATTGCATGGGACTAGTTACTCTGGCAATAATTGTTTGTGCTTCATTAACATGCAAAATGGTTTTATAGACTAACCCACACACAAAAGAAACCATTTTTGATGAGAACTGTGCTTTGTTTAATGTTAGACACCATTGTATTTGCTTTCCTAATATAACAGTTCTAATTAGTACCTAGCACTCATCCTGAGTTTTTCAGCTTGAACACTCTGAAGGTGACAATCGAGTCACAATTCCATGGCACTCTTTGTCAGTACCTGTCAAAATATAGCTAAGCCTTTAGGAGTTGTGATCTAAATACTGAGAAAAAAAAAAGTTAATAGTCCAGAAACAATATGTCTCTAGGTAATTTTAAAAAATAAAATTGCACATTAGCCCTTGCTTAAAAACATAATACCACT